CAGAGGGTGGATACAACAATGCCATTTCGTTGCCGGACGGTGAACACTGCGGCATGTTCGAAACGTCGACTCAGTTAAACTCATTCTACTCGTTTTCATGCGTTCAACTATCACATCGGCAGCCTTTTGTTTAGAAGACTTCTTACTTCGGTTGCGGCGCTCAATCGGCTTTGAATTTAGAAGATCAACGTCATGAAAGTTGAACACTTAGAAGTGGCTCCCAATCCTCTCGTTTGAATTTGCCGCCAAAGTACCCCCCCCCCCACCAGATTAATTTGGGTTGTACGTGTGGGAGTTCTTCCATCCTAAAACTATTACAACGATGGCCAAAATCAACGTTCCTGCCTTGAGGTTTACAGCTGTAATTCAGAAACATACAACAACATTGGCAATAAACGCGAGAGGGTTATTCGATCCGTGAACAGTTCGGTCCATGGTCCCCGTTGACATTGCTGTCACGGAATTGGATGTCTGATGCCTCATTGCCGCAAAATTATTTAACCGGCAGAACGTACCGGAAGCTCGCCTTTCGACCTCAAACCTAGGGGGGGTCATCTGCAGGCGATCGCAGCGATCTTTGAACTTTACCTGCATCCTAACCTTGAAGAATGCACATAAGATTCAGGTCGAAACATTGGTATCGTTCAGTCATTCGATTAACTATCTTTTTCTGTGTATAAAATAACAAAAACAACAGCGGTTGACTGTTCTTTTTTTCATAAATAACGATCACCACTGCTAAATCTCGACGCCCCCGTTCCTTCGTCTAGTCTGTTCTAAATCAAGGTGTCCTAACAGAGAACTTGCAGCCCCGTTTGGTACCAATCCGCTAAATCTGCAAAATCCATCGGTCTGCGATGTGACCTGCCAACTGCCATTTTCTTCCATATGTAGCTAATGCAACGCTTTGCCCCACTGCATCTTCGTAAGAGAACATTCGTTTGCCTTTCGCTGCCACCGTATCACGCTCCAGGTAATGTCTCAATAAGGCTTGACAAGCTCACCACTTTCTTTGATGAGTTCGGTACAGCCCCCTCTTCTTTGGCAATTTCTCCTTCACACCACGGAGGGTATCGAAGACAACCTGTTTGTGCCAGGGGCCAGTCGCATTACCAGCGCACAAGCAAATGCTCAACCATAGGAAAGAATTGGCTTATAGCATGTGTTTACTGTTGATGAACACTACACAGCTGCTGATATCGTCAGCAAAAGGAGGAAGAAAGAGTGTCACAGTTACCTTAAGCTTGAGTAATGAGGCACTGGAACTTCTGGTAGCAGTCTGTTGTGGGCAAGGCGAATTCTCTACGTTGTGTTTAAATAGGTGTTGTTTATACCATGTTAAATTGAGAATGAGTACAAATTAATAAGCAAACACTGTATGCGTCGTGAGTTGTTCATGTGCAGCAAAACATTGTCTAGCATGTGCTTTCAGTGTTCAGCAGCATGGCGATGGAACTGTTTTCGAACAATAAAATGACTCGGTCTAAAATGGGCGGAAAAAATTCTTCAGCCTACAATTGAAAGTGTTTGTGATAACGACTGCACTATTTCAAATATGCCATTGTCATCCACATTGTAAGTACAGTACATTTCAAGTTGTATTATTTGTCATTCGCAAAAATGAGGGCTTCATTAGAATCAGTGATTATTCCGCTTTATTGCTCTGATGCCAGATAATATACCAAACAAACTCACGTCTGCCATATTTATTGCCAAGACATCAATAGGATCTATGACTTTGAACTGTAGTGCTGTAGGTGGATTCATCGTGTCAGTTGGAAAGAGCGTTAAATAGAAAATTCAGTACTCTGATGGATGCGGATATTTGTGACTAAATAAACAGAGGAGAAAAGTGACTTCATATAATCAAGATTCAGTTGCCTCTCGGTCGTCTTGAATAGTTTGAATAAATGAGTTACAAACTGAGACTACTTTGTCATGTGAAAAATGTGATTGAGCATTTAGCCGACTTACTTTAGTGATGCTGGCAAAAATCAACAAATCTAGTCATTTGTGAGAACTATCATATCGTGTGCCTACCTAAGGAAAAATGTACCTCATTGCTTTAATGTTGTTGCTTGATTACTGATTTCTACATAATTTCAATATGAACCCAACACACTCTGGCTTAGGTTTTTTGTTGGAACTTTAACGTCATTCGTTAATATCACGGACAGTCTTCCTCTGTTTTTTCATTCATAGCTAAGACCGATTTCGGTTACGCAAGGACGAGTTATCTTTTTAACTGGCATTAGTACTTAACGGTTGTAATGTAGGGCCTGTTTGTAATTTCCTTCAAAGACGAAAGCAGACTGTTTGGTGAGTGACGGTTCAGCAATGCGCCTTGAGGACCAACCCTCGCGAACTCTTCCCGCGCTTTCCAATCTTTCAGAGAAGCGGAAACTTTGTTGCTATGGATTTAGTCTTGCTGATACCATTTCTCGATTGTACGTCCACCCCATTCCTGTTCTGCCTTTTAACTTGTTTGTTTGAGTTTGACGCGTCGCTTCTCAAGC